ATTTTATATAAATATTTAAAATAAATAAAATAAACATAACTGCATATTGATAGTTTTTATGTAAAAAAAATTTTCTTTTTTTGGGGGGATTTTTTCTCGAAGGGATTTTTTCCGGAGGGATTTTTTCCCGGGAGGATTTTTTCCGGGGTGATTTTTTCTCGGGGGGATTTTTTCTCGGGGGATTATTTCTGGGAGATTTTTTCTGGGGGAATTTCTTCCTTTTTTTTTAAATATAAAAAAAGCTTACTGGTTGGCAAGTTTTTTTTTACCTAAAGCAAAACTAATTAGTAAACTGGTGTCCGAATTTTAACAAATTTCTTTAATTATTATAGTTAATATTTATTTATATATATGACGTCTTACGTTAAGGAAACGGAACTGGAAAAATTAGTTTTTTTTTAAAATTAACATTTTGATTTAATTAGTACACTATTACAGAAAAAAAAAAACAGCATTAATTTTTTTAAATATGTACCTGTCCTATGATTTCAAAATGTATAGGCTTGACTTACAATTAGCATGTTTACATATTTAACATATTTGATTACAATATTTTATAAATAGAGCACCATTGAAGAGATCTTAACAAAGAAATTAATATCGTCTTCCATAGAAGTGTTATAAGTATAGCATAAGCAGACATTGAATATCGGACCATCCAATTTTAAAGCTAGTACTCTGACTACTGTGCCGTGGCTATATTAGTTAGAATAGATAATAATATAGAGGAAGAGTGATGAGAGTAAATTAAAAGAGTTGACTAGATAAAGTATGTTTTTATCTTTTTAAGTGAACATAAAAAAAAAGCCAAAATCTAGGGATAAATTTGTCAAATTTTAAAAACCTTAAAAAAAAATTTTAAAAAATTAAAAACTTGTTGTGTTCTTAAATAAAGAGAAGTAAATTTATGGGTAAGGGTAACTTTTTCTTAAGTAATTAAATTTGAAATTTTGATTATATATATATATATATATATATATATATATATATATATATATATATATATATATATATATATATATATATATATATATATATATATATATATATATATATATATATATATATATATATATATATATATATATATATATATATATAGGGATGGATGATAAGATCTTGTCATCTGCATGCTCCGATCAAATTTTTTATCAATTTTATTTTTATGTTGTGAAAATATTGTAAAACTTATTTTAAATGACGCAATAAACAAACAGATATCACTAAATATCACATATAGTACTAACTAATTAGTTGATTTGTGAAGACTTCTTGTTGTGAAGTTTTTGACAAACTACCTCTGATTGTTTTAACGTCCGGTCAGAACATTACAATTGTAATTTTTCTTATAAATTATTTTTAAGACAGCCAACCAAAGAAAAAATTTTAAAATTCTGAATAATTTTTGTCATGTGTATTAGTTACAGATTATTAAAAAAAAAAAAAAAAAAATCAAGATCAAGGAAGATTGATATACAATACCATTTTAATCTTTTCAAAGAGTTTTTCTGCATGTTTCATCAAAATAATGTCAAGAAAAGTCATAAATATTGATTAAAATATTTACAGCTAATTAAATTATCAGTAAAATGAATGTTACCAATAAGGTAATGAATATTATCAGATAATGAAAATTATCAAAAAATAATTATTTGAACAATATTTGAAGAATATCGGAATATTCCACAAATTCAAATATTTAAAACTTTAAAAATGTATAAACTAAAAATTAGTAATTACTATTAAAATCAATTAATAGAAAGATGTGTATTATCATTTTATAAAAATTAATGAGGAAATAATAATGAAAGAAAATATTTTCATTTTAAAAACAATAAAGAAATAAAAATTAAAAAAAAAAATTTAAATACTTCGGATTAATTATGTTGCAAAATTGAAAACATTCTTTACTTTACATTTTTATGTGTTGAATGATTTCCCCATATCTGATCATATTTGCATCATTTTAAAAAAGTTCTATAACTCGATATGCTATTGAATATTCTTTGAACTTTTAATAATTTTGGTAAATTATTGGGATTAGATTAATTTTTTAAAGAATATACTTTTTATTTAAATATTTATTCAACTTACAGTTAAATGTAGATTAATTTAATTATACTAATATATTGATTATATGTGAATATAAGTAGTTATTTATATACATCATAATTTTCATATTATTATTTTTTTATGTATGATATTTTGTGTTATACAAAAAATATTTATAATCGTGTTTTTTATTTGGTAGTTTTACAAATATTTAAGAATGTACATTAAAGACTTTTTAAGTATTACTGTCCAAGGGTCGATGTTATAAAATTTTTATCTGTGTAAAATGCTACCGGCGGAAATTTTATTCTGAGAATATTTACAGCCGTAAATTTAGAGTCGTAAAATGTTTTTCATTTCAATGGTATAAACTTTTTCCGCATCAAATTTGTAGATATCTTTGCCCTAAATTTATTTTTAGAAATCTATTGTCCAGATCAATAACATTTTCAAGACATAAAAAAGGTTATCAAAAAAAAAGTCTTTTTGAGTTAAAGATTCAAAAACATTCTGAACTACAGGTTTCTACACCAAAATATTCTTATCTTTGAATCTTCAACAAAAATTTCCGTAGATACTACCTCCGGAACATTTTTAGAAGGCAAACATTTCGACAGTAAAAAGTTTATCGCCGGTAATTTTTTGAAAATATTTTATAAAATTGAAAAAAGTCATTTACGCTCGTAAACTTTACTTCAGGTAAAAAGTTTTACTACATCGATCCCATGTGTATAAAATTTTCTCCATTTTAAGAAATTAAGTAAAAAAATTATGGTTAGTTGTGTTAATTATGCGTAAAGTGTCTTGTGCCAATTTTTGTCAAATTTTAGTCAATTTTTTCACAAACGGTGATTATTTAATTTTTTTTCTATTATGAATTTTTTAGCAAAATCCAAAAAAATTAAAAATGTTATTTTAAAACAAGTTATACTTTAAAAAGTTACATTTAAAAATTTTTTATTTATTAAACATTTTTTTAAATTTATCAAAAAATATATACAAAGTTTTAGTAACCAAAAATAAAACAACTAATTTTAAAAATAAAGATAAAATTAAACATTGACAAAGTTATTCAAACCGAAGTTTATGAATCCTAGCCGTTTCCAAAGCAACGCTGTTGTCAAGTAGTCTTGAATATAACATCAAATATATTGTCTAAATCTAAAGAAAAATTAATGACAAACAAAATGCTTTTTATATATATATATTTTTTATTTCTTACATAACATAACATAAAATTTACTATCAGATTAAAAATTCCCTCTTGCTGTCTGGTTTTTTTTATTAATTAGCATGGAACCATTGCGCATTTTGTCGATTTAAACTCGTATGGCTTGCATGAGCTTTATCTTTAAAGTAAGTTAGAAAGAATTTTTTTTAAAATATTTTTCTAGTTGGTAACAACAGTATAACAAAGCAACACATGGTTTAGGATAATAATTATCAACTTGTAATTGGTATCGAGTTACCCATTAATAAACGATAATGATTCAAAATCCATCGTTAATTTAGATTGATCGTAAATAATTAAAAATATGTTTAATAAATTACCTCTCAGAAACAAAAATACTGTTGCCTAAACATTATAGACACAATAAAAACTTTTAGTTTTTTGGTTTTCTGAGTATCTTTTACTATTATTTTTATTTTATCGTTGCTTTGTTTTGTTTCAATGTCTTTTTGTTTGGTTATACTGCCGAGAACTAAGTCTTTTTTGAAAAATGAAATTTATTTTTGAAAATCAGAACCAGAAGCTGTTGTCTCATATTTTTGTGTACTTATTTTGAAAAGTTTTTAGCCTTTAATTACCAATTATTGTTTGCTTATATTTCAATTTAAAATAAGGTTTTATTTTAATTATTTTAAAAAAGATATTTTGAAACTACTCTCCATTAATTTTAATTTCATTTTTTATTGGTTTTTGTTAAACTAATTATTCAATAATTTGTTAAACTATCAATCAAAATCAAGAACGGAAAAAACAACTTTTTAATCCTTTTTAATCCTTGTCTAGCGCAATATTTAAGGTCTGATTTCGGAAAATTGAACCGAAAGCAAATCAGTCAAAATTAATTTTCGAACCTAAGATAAAAAGTTTCAAATAAACTGAGTACGATAGAATAGATTCAAAATTTAATAATTTGATTTCTTTATTTCAATAATGTATGACTAATACTTTTTTTTTTGAAAAGATGTATAAACAATGAGATGGCAAATCAAATTAATATTTTAAAAATTAAAAAAACACAAATATACACATTAATAATCAATTAATAATTGCTGCGCTCTAGATCGTTATGTAGGATCAATCAATTAATTGTTGTAAAGATCAATCACAATTGACAATGCTTCAAAGATCAATCGCGATTGAGAGTGATTGATCTTTGAGGCGGTGCAATCAAATTCAAATAACTTCAATTGTTAACTGAAATTTAATATAGAAAATTTAAATGTATTCCGTTAAAATAAGAAAGATTTTTGAACACAATAAAAGTGTTTGATATTTAGAATTTGATTTAAAAATCAAAAATATAATAATAGAAGTTGAATAAAGATCAGTTTGAGTTTTAACGAGACTTCATTTTCCCATAAGGTATTGTCACAAAATGACTGCCTTATATTAAACAAAATGCTTCGTGTTTTACTAATTTGATTACCAAGTCTTGAATTATGAGTTAAATCGCTATTCTCTATAATCATCAAGTAATCTGTATAAATGAATTCAAGAAATATTTTTTCACTTTTATTGGCAAGAAATTATAATTATGAATACTTAGCATTGCTTTTTTCAATTCCATAATGCAATAATTACATATATTTTTTATTCTAATCTTTTTTGAATTTTTAAATCGGTTGTGCATATCGTATTACAAAGATTGATAAAATAATTTTTCCGTCGAAGAAACATTAAATAATGTGTAAATTTAACGCACTTTTAGCTTAGCTTCATAATTTATTAATTTTTTAAAATTAACTTTAATAATATTATGTTTTGCTAAAATTAGTGACGGTGATTATTACCCTTTGGTGAAAAAGAAAGTTTTTTACTTAGGTGACTTCTGTAATCATGCATATCAGGTAGGAAAGTAAATGATTGCAAAACAAAGATCTTAAGTAATTTTGCGATAAAAACTTTAAGTTTAATTTCAGTTTTGGGAAATTGTTTTATTTACTATTTCTCATCATATCTGCGTTTACCTTTACTTAATCTGACTTTATAAGTATTTGGTTGTGTTACTACAAGTTTCAATGTTAAAGAAGAAGTTCTAAAAAGCATATCAGCTTTTTAGTTATTTTTTTATTAGATATATATTATATTATATAATAATATATTATATTATATTAGACTTTACATTCTAGAAGTTGGCAGTTCAGAAAATTTTTACCATGCAAACTGCTCCTTAATAGCTTTTATATTCATTTATTTCTTTGTAAAATTACATTTGGATTTTTATATAATATAGATTATATAATTTTATGTCTTTGTATACTTGTGAATCTCTTTATCATTTTTTTAGCGAGCAATAATATCACATTCATTTTAATATTTTGTTATATGACCTTTTCCATTTGACTTATCATATTAGAGTTTGAAATCTTTCAAACAATCATGTTATAATTTTATTGCTCTATTGTTGATGATCTTACTGTTACAGTCTAGAGTGTAATAATGCCTCATACACTGGCAACTCTCATTCAGTACTTACATATGGCTTGATTGTAATTCAAACTCTTTTTCTTAATTTATGAGTGACAGTTTTAGGGAAGATGCTTGTTTTTTAAAATTGTTAAAGTTTCCATTAAAAAAACCATCTCATTTTTGCTAGTAATTTTACTATTATCTAAATGATAATTCTTTAAGTAAGCAAGCTATCATGCTATCATGCTATCAAGCATGCTATCAAATTTCTTTAGAAAGTTATTATGGTGAGGAGAAAAAGATTTGGTCTGTATGAAATAGAAGAAATCTGGAAGGTTGTATTATTATAATTGTGGAATAAAAAAAGCTTTTAAAATCTTTTTTAAATATAAAAATTGTTCAAAGCTTTTTTAAATAAGGTTGATTTTTTCTAATATTTTGACATAATTTTATTTATATTTACTTGCACTATAAAGATATATTTTAAATATTTGAAAAAAGAAACGAAAATATTGTTAATATTTAAGAGATTTGGGATAATAAATATTTAAACAAAATTTTTTAACAAGAGATGTTTAAATGATTTTGGCTTGAATACTATAAAAAGAAAGTATGATTTTTTTTTTGAAACCACCTTTCTTGGATAAATACTAAATAATGTAATATTCAAATTTCAGTCAACAAGGTTGTTGTTTCTATACTAATGGTTGCCATGGTAGCATATAATTTTAGACATCTACTGTTTTAAATAGATTTAAAATGTTTATTTATATTAACATTAAAAACTTGATTGCATGTCTTAGGCTTAAGTTAAATTTTATTATGATTATTTTTAGATTTAAAAAAAAGGATTTGTAAAATAACTTTCCTAGCACTATTACAAAACTTTATTAAAAAACAATATTTTTAAATTATATATATAAAAAATTTTCAATTAGAACATAGGCACCTCAGATTAATGTATAAAAGACTCTCCAATTACTCCCCAATAAATCATTTTTAATGTGGTTTTTAAAATTGACATTATATAATATTAGAAGTAAAATGCTATTTTTGCCTATCTATATGCTATCCTTTTATTAATGTATCTCTAATTAATGTTTTATCAATATAATCATTTTGGTTTAGAAAACTTTTATAAAAAATTATAGTTGCACATTAAGTGTGTATTGTATAAATATAACATAATGTAGCAACAGTTTCTTTTCTTGAGACTTTGTCAGTATGCACTCATTTTTGTTTTATTTTAGATGTCAAAAAATTATTCGAATACTCAAATTACAGAAGAAGAAGAGTCTAAATTACTTGAAAAAAAATTAAAGTCATTAAAAGTAGAAGATGAAGATGATGATGCATTCTTACCTTCTACTCATACGGTGAAAGATGTATCCAACAGTCATATTACAGGAGCATTTATTGGTATATATATTAGGGATATAGGGGGCAAAATTTTGATTTTATAAAAGTATTGGTAAAGATGCTTGAATTTCAATCTGTTTGGATTTGGGGAGTTCAATTTTGAAAGTATTCTAAAAAAAGCTACTGGGAATAAAGATTTAAAGTTACATTTTTATTTAAAAATTTAATTCACTTTTTTACTTAAGATTTAATTATAAAATATTTTAAATGAATATTACACTATAAAATATTATAAAAAATATATATTACAAATAAGGTTATCATTGACCCTCATCATTCCTGGGTCATGAAATATGTATAATACATCATGTATTTTCCTCCCTCCTTTTTTAATTCTTGTTAGTTTTGTTATAGTTTATAAAATCAAACTTCACAGTTACTATATATATATATATATATATATATATATATATATATATATATATATATATATATATATATATATATATATATATATATATATATATATATATATATCCCCTAAATGTGTTCTATGTAATAAATTAACATAAAATTAAAAAAAATTTTTAGGGGTTGCTCAAGACCTTTAAACATCAAACCGGTCCCTAATATTTTGAAAAAAAAAGTTCTTCAGAAGAAAAATTCAGATTCAAGAGGAGCTGCTTGTTCTAAGTGTTCAAAAATGGTGAAGAATACTTATGGTGTATGTTGAACTTTATTGAAAGTCTTGGATATGTCAAGAGCACCTTTGCG